CGGGTTTAGAACTATCTGATCCTCATTAAAAAAAAAAAAAAAGTAGACATATAGACTCCAACTGTAATCCAATGACCTCCTTTCCAAAACTTTGCCAAAGAGTAAAAGAAAAGTACTTGCTAGTCCCCGAGTACACCATACTTCTTTCTATTATGATTTTTGATTTTTCAGTGAGCTCTTCCTTCTACTCAACATTGTCTTCTGCTTTTCTTCTAAACCCCACCTCATGCCGTCATCCTTCAAGACTCAGGCCACCAGTATATCCTTGGTGCAACCATAGCATTATACTCCTGCATCATTTATGGCATTAATCATTCTGTATAGGAACTTTTTAAAAGTGTATTTCTCCTGTAAAACTGTGAGTTTCTCAAGGGTAGAAACTAGACGTCATTTCATTTGTTTTTCTGTCTCATACACAGCCAAGTATCTGATACTTAGAAAATATGTTAATAAGAGTCATTGAGTAATCAGAAAAAGAGTAAGAAACTAAAATGGTTAAAACTTGTTTTCCTTTTGACTGCTAGGAATGTGAGAATTTCAAAGGACAAAGATATTTTGATTTTCTTTCCAAGTCAACATACTAGCAGAATGTATACAAGAAATAGGCCAAACTCCTCAAAAGAGTGCTTGGTTCAGGTTCTACTTCTGTCTCCACCATTTACTAACTCTGTGACCTCAAGAAATAACACCTTTAAACCTAACATTCCCTGTCTGAAAAGGGAGGAAAACTGTCACCCGCCCTGCACTCCTTAGATATGTTAGGATGAAATAAAATGAGGTGTAACTGTCTCATAAACTCTCAAACACTGTATAAATACAAAGTATCATAAGCCAGGCACTGTTTTAGCAGGTTCTACTTTTGAGAAAAGGTACTTTAAATAGATTATAGTCTTGAGTAAAGGCCCAATACTTCTATTTAGAGAAAGTACAGCATAAGACCCATGTTTAATCACATAAAGGATACAGTCCCCAAGTGTACAGAATTTTCTAAACTTTAAGCATAAAAGCTGAAATCAGTTATGAAATTGTGCTTTAATAATGTTTACAACATGCTATATAATATTATCATTTTCCTTCTTAGAAGACATACCAATCTTATTTGCTGGTAAGAGTTAGAAAATAACTAAATTGCTGCTGGATAACTCCACCTAAATGCATGGTGTTACTGGCTCTTCAAAATGTAAGCAGCCCAAACTGACATCTGTCTCCCCACCCAGCCTGTTAGCTCTGCCAGAGCAGCAACTGTGTTTACCTTATTCACTACTATGAAACCAACATTTCCATGGTTCTCTCTGATTCTAGCTCTTAATAAGTATTCACAATGAACAATGGGGACTAACATTCAGATAAAGCCACTGAAAGGGCTTTTAGGGGTAAACGGCATCAGCAATCTATCGTTAAAAGCTCTTAAGGGACAGCCCAGGCAGCAAACTGAACTTCACTCTGAGGACTGGATCCAGAGGTGCTCGCTTCATGGCCAGCCATCTTTCTCACTTGCAAATGCCCCTGTGTCAAATATTAGCATTTGTTTGTTGACTATGGTAGCATTTTCCTCCCAAATTAAAAGTCATTCTGCTTTTATACATTACCATTTCATCATTATTAACAGAAGCCATCTATCTTGTTAGCATTAACATTGTCTTTGGGCAATAAACAGAAGGTATATTCCTTATACAATGTGTACATCATATTATTTGTGGATAGCAAAATTAAAACATTGTAGTTTTTTATCCTTCCATATTTTATCCAACAATTAAACTTATGTAATTTTGCTTGACAGGTGATCAAATACAAACCACAGAAACCCACATTTCACCTCACATCTCTAAAACTAGAAGTCTACAATTATGTTTGCATTTTATTGTACTATGTCTTCCATAACAATATGGCTTTTTTCTTTTCTTAGCCCTAGATATTTTCTGAGATTATGAAATATAAACTGCAGTAAGTAAAAGATAGATAGGAGCAAGAAGTTCTGGCATGCTATTGTATAACAGGGTAACTGTCAATAACATCTATGTACCCTATATCTCAAAAAGCTGGAAAACAGGCATTTTAAAAGTTTTTACCATAAATGATAAATGTTTGAAGTGATAGATGTTTACCCTGATTTAAACATTACACAATGTATATATGTATCAAATATTATGTGGTGCTATTACAGACAAGTAAGTTAGGTAGAAATATTATAGGCAGTCAGATAGGGCTGGGCCCTCGAGGGTCAGTGCAAAAGATGAAAATACATTACAACTGTGGCCAGAGGTGCATCTGTTAGAGGCCAGACCTCAAGATAAAGATGAAATGACCAGGCCTACACTCCCAAGGGATAAGATAAGAGGTAACACCTGGACTAATAAAGTCCAGATAGACATCAGTCACCCCGTGGGTAACCAAGACCTCCAGATCCATCATTTCCTAGAAAAGATCTTTTGCTCTTTCCATATACACTTGCTACATGATCTGTTTCCCCACTGGGCCAATATTATCTAAGCAGCTATACTTATAATCTTCTTGGTTGTGTCCCATGTTGTACCCACCTCATGATTTTTGTACCTGCCTCCTAATTTTGCTGTATAAAACTTCTTCTGTGAAGTGAGTGGGGTCCTCAGCTACCTTTTTGGGACCCCTCCTGCCCCTTAGGAGCTAAAATCTCTCCTCTCTATAAGTATTTCCTACTCTTAACCTCCATTATTCCTTAGAATTCATTCTTCGATTTTGGGGAACAAGAACTAAGCATATCTGACATCCAACAGGCTGGAAGTTATATTATTTCCCCTGCATTATTTGGAGGTCCTATATTAGTACCACATCAATTTTTTAATGTACCAGTTAAAATTTTTAAAAATTGCAACTCCCCAAAAAATTTTAAAAAGAAAACAACTATTTTCCCCTGTAGCCTGCCAAACATATCTGGATGATTTTGGCTGCTCATTCTGTTGCTTTGAAGGTAAGCCATTTGATCTCATTCTGATTCAGACAGCAGACCTCTTTCTTCAGTCATGTGTGAAATTGCTTCAAGCCTGGCTTTTCTCTCAGCCTCCAAAATCTTCTCATCATACAATCCATTCTTTTTTATTTCAGTTCCTTTCAGCTTTGTGTCTTCTTTTCTTCTTTCTTATGCTGAATTTTATTCCACCATAAATTTCCTTTCTTAACAATAAATTCAAGCTTCTTTATTAAAGTAAGTATACATACATTACATTGCACTCTATTAAATAGGCCAGTTGTTCTAAAACTGGAGGAGGGTTACAAGGGAGGACTTACCCAGATTAACACCAGGTTTGGATTCTATAAATCTGAAGTAAGGTACAGTAAACTACACATATTAAAATCTCTTTCAGTGACTGGAATTACAAGTGGGCTTAAAGACAATTTTTTAAAGTATAATAAACAACTTTTAAAATATAATAATTTGGATAACCTTTTTAAAAGATACAATTGAGCACTTCTGCTCCTTTTTGAAATTCATCTTTATCATACAATAATTTTAGGCATAATAATCTGCATAAACCCTTTAAAAATACAATTTAGCACTTTCAGTCCTTTTCATTCATCTTTAATTTATATTATCCAATGTAACAATTTCACTTAATTTTACCTGGCCTTGAGCATTTTTTCAATCTGGTGCCAGACTCTTCCTAACACACACTTAGAGGAGACAGGAAGGCACTGTATCTCGCCACTCTTTCCCTGTGTGCAGAGGCCCCTGTGTAGGCTGCTCTCCTCCTCTCTCCATCCCCACCAGCTCTGGCACTCCACCGCCAGGGAGGGGAAGAAACAGAGAGAGGAGTAATTTGTTAATAACTGAGCATGCTCACTCAAACACTGCCCTTCTTCCTTCTGAAAGCCAGTTGCCCACAAGAAACCAACCTACATTTAGCTATACTTTAGATTAAAATCAGATTTTAGAGCAGATGAAGACTAGAATAAGACTGCGGGTAGGGCAGCCCTCACTGCTTAGCCTTCCCATTCCATAATATGTCTTGAGCTCCATGCTGCCACCCAAAGCTGATGCTGGCACCAGCTCGCCAGCCAGGAAAGCAAACACTAGTAGAGAACTGCCCCTGGGAACAGCGAGAAGAAGATTCAGGGATTGGTATCGCAGCTTTTTGAAAAATGGAGATATGAGAAGGTTCTAGAACCAATATTTAATAAAATAATTACTTACTTTTACTTGTAGAACACATGTAGCACACAAGTTCTGATCTGGCGTCTGGGATGTACACAGTGACAGGAAACTATAATTCAGCCACCCATCATGCCCTGGCAGCAGGTCCCTCTGTACTATACATGCTGGTGGTTAAGTCAAGTACAGCATGCTATAAAACTCTGAATGGCCCTGTAGCCCTGGTTTCTCATCTTGTCATGTTCAACCCAAATTCCTGTGACTTCTTCCTCATTAAAGAAGGAAAAATTTAATCTTTCAAACAAAAGCTAGCTATACTGCAGGTTGCACATATCCAGAAAGTATTCAGATCTGGTCTGTGAGAAATCAAGGAAACATACGTTCAAGGAAATCTAATGAAGAAGCGAGTTTTCCTATGGCTAGACAATTCTAAACACTTCCAAATATATTTTTAAATGTCTCTTATTTTTTGGGAAATGCTGTAAATGCTAATACTTAGGATATTAATGTTTACATATACTTTAATGTCAAAATAATGGAGATTATCCAACATATTCTAATTACCTTTTATATCAATAAACTATTCAGTGATTTTTAATGTACTGCCTTTTATACTGGTTTATAACTTTCTTGAGAAAAGCTATGAAGATAAAATTTTGACACTGTACTTATTTTGTAAATATTTGTTAATTCACATAATTAAGTTCTCTCTCCATTTTTAATATTTACCTTAAGAGAATTTTCTAAATATAATTTCTTAATATTAGAGAGATAAAATATGTGATTTTATAGAGTGATACTAATTCTGAGAAGGTACAAAATATGCCATGTCAGACACTTTCTTCATAAAATGTAATGAACTACAGCATCTTACCATGAGGTGGCAGTGGTGTTATGCTAATGTTCAGTATTTTCTTGTCAGAAATGTGAACATAGATGAGCCCTTTTTCAGTTACATAAATCCTTGCCTGAAATTCAGAAGTGGCATATAAGTAACTCTGTTGTAAAGGAGTTAAACAAAAAACCTCCATCTTTTCAATACCAAATTAACTTCTTCCTTTATCAAATGCCCCTACTCACTTCCAAGAATAATCCCTTTGCCCACACATGATATTTTGATGGAACCACTTTCCCACATGGTCTCAACGACACAATTATTTTTTTATGTGGCCCAAAATAAACTATTAAACATTACATTTATTATTTTTTAACTACTAACTAATATGCAAAACACACACCCTCACACCATTCCTGAGTTTCACAGTACAGCTGTGTTCCCTAATGCTCCCAATTCCAGGATGCAGTTCAGGGCTGGGGAGGAGCTGGGGCAGTGGTGGGGCCAAGGGCAGGCTGGGAAATGGGATAAAGGGCCAGGAATTGGCAGATTAACCACAGACAACCAGAAGTCATATACTATCTTCTGTCCTTATCTCAGAAAGGGCTATAAATCTTTCTGTGCAAAAGATCAGCTTGTTTCTATAATTTCAACTCTATCTTCAATAGCTGGCTTCCCAAATTTTCTAGGTCTTCCCTGAGAGATTATCTAGGTCTTGAGTGCACAGGAAATTCTCAGAAATCTACCAGTTCTCTGCATTCAGACATAAGGAACTAGACTGGCAGACTTCACACACACACACACACACACACTATATTTAATATCATAAACCCCATGCCAATGATAGTTTTGATGGGCAAAATTGATACCCCTCAAACAATAACCTAGTTTTGAAAAAATATCATAACTGCTCACAGAAATGAAAAATCATTTTTTTTGACTGTCTTCTGTGATTAGGATGAGGCAGAGGAAAAGTCAGAAATGAATTCTGTGCAAATTACTAGATAAAATAGCAACACACACACACACACACACAAACACAGCACCACCAACATACGTTCTGGACTCTGGTCACAACAGTGTGTTCCTTACCTGGATCCATCCCGTCTTTCATTTATTCCTTCCCTGAGATCTTCCCTATACCACTTCATTCATGACCAGAAAAATTTAACCCCTCTTCCTTTATGATACTTCTGGACACTGTCCTTACTTTTGTCTTTGCATCATAGTCCAATTTGTCTCTATTATTCACAAAGGGGCAAAGCCATGGCCTGGGCTCTAATCTTGGCCCCACAGCTGGCTAGTTGACAGTCTGAGCAAATCACTTAACCTCTCTGTGGCTGAGTTTTCTCATCTTTATGGATAGCAACAATTCACTGGGATGTTGTGAGGACTAAATGGGTTAGCACACATCAAGTATTTGCAATGTTCTTAATACATAGTTTTCAGTAATCATTAGTTGTTTGAGTGTTATTCTTGCTCTTGTCTTTTGTAGGATAGTAAACTTCCTAGAGTGAGGATCATGCCACCTTGTCTTTGTACCCTTAATACCCAGCACATTACCTCAGTGGTGCTTGCACTTTGTTAAACTAAACTGAACTCCTCTTATGTTCTAACTCCTCTATGTTTCCTCTCCAGCCATTTTTTCCTCCTTCATGTGGTTCATCTTAAAAACTCTTTGCCCTTTTTGACCTCTTAATTGAATCCCAGGTTAGAAGGTATACATACATTCCTCTATCTTACTATAAACTTCTTTTCAAAAAGTAGAATACTCTTGCTGCCTGCTCCATTTGCTTGAGCCTTACAACATGCATGATAGTTTTCTGTCCTTCCTTTTCAAGAGAGCTGCCCCCTGGCTATTTCCAAGTATAGCCTGTGTGCAAATCTCTAAGTGAACTGTTTTCCCTAGTTTCAATTATTTCCCATTTATATATAATATATAATGATATATAAATAGATAATTAATTGGAACTATGGAAAAGAGTTCACTTAGGAGATATATATATATCCTAAAATAAATGTCTATATTTTTTCCAACTTTCTCACTCCAGCTCCCTTTACAACTACTCCACACCTCCACCTGGAAATGCTGTCACCATCAGAAATAACAAGAACATTTTATTTCATGCAATATATGTCTTAGCATAGTAGAAGAAAATATTGGTCTGGCTTCAGGAAACCTAGATTCTAACAACAAAACTTGCAGTAACTAACTCCATGACACTGGGTAAAAGTCACTTATTCTATACAGAACTCAAAATGCAATCAGCACTTCATCAAGGCAACTCTGCTCCTCTTCCTGTGACCTCATCTGTTAGCAGTAGCAGCATTTTCCTAAGTATACAATCCCCAAACTGTCAAAGCTATCTTTTCTCTTCTCTTCCCCTACATGGCTTAGTCTGCCATCAAAGTGTCAGTGCCCCAATTCTTATAGCTTTGTTTAGTAGACTACCTCAGTGACCTCTTGTGAAGAAATGCTTTCAAGGACTAGCCCTCAAGGAACAATCTCCTGATAGAGCAGAAACCACTACCTGCTTGCCACCAGCACCCTTCACTGGGACGCTACTGCTTCCCCATGACATTTGACCCAAGTGTGGAAAACAACTCTATTTTTTAAAAAATTTTATTGAGGTCGGAGATTTAGCTCAGTGGTTCTATCGCCTGCCTTGCAAGCGCAAGGACCTGAGTTCAATCCCCGGTACCAAAAAAAAATTTTTATTTACTTTTATTTTTATTGTGTTGCTCTGGTGCCTTGCATATGCTAAGGAAGTCGTCTGCTATTGAGCCATACCCGGACTCCTTTAATTTAAATTGATACATAACATTTTACATACTTATAGGGTACCATGGGATGTTTCAACACATGTACACATTGCCAATGCTGAAACTAGGTTAAATATGTGTATCCCCTCAAACATTTATCATTTCATTATAATGAAAAATTCAAGATGATTTCTTCTAGATTTTTGAAATATCTAGTACATTGTCATTATCTATAGTCACCATACTGTGCATTAACACACCAGAACTTTCTACTTCTTTTCTTTTTTTTGGTATTGGGGATCGAACTCAGGACCTTGCGCTTGCAGGCAAGTGGCAGAACCACTGAGCTAAATCCCCAGCCCCAGAACTTTCTACTTCTATGTAACTATAACTTAGTATCCACTGATCAACCTTTCCCCATCCCTCCCTCTCCCTATTCCTTGTGCCTCTGGTAACCACTATTCTATTTTAACTTTTATGAGATCAATCACGTTAGAGTCTATGTAAGAGTGAGATCATGGACTCTATCTTTCTATGCCTGGCTTATTATACCAAGCATAATGATCTGCAGTTTCACCTACACTGTCACAAATGACAGGATTTCATGCTTTTCTGTGACTGAATAGTTTTCCATACTGTACTCTTACAATGCAGATAAAACAGATCATTAAAACAAGACTTCACTAAAGAGTGGCAAGATCAAAAGGGAGAGTCACAGAGAGCACCACTGTAGAAAACAGAACAGAATCTTTCATGTCCTCCATGTCGGTGAGCCTTGACTGACTCCAGGACCTTTCCGCCTTGGAGCCTCCTCCAGAGCATACTGGTTGGTCCCCTACAGCCAAAGAGCACCAGTTCCAATGGACATCACACCCAAGGTTTCCACAGCAAAGCCAAGATGCTGAGCCCACTCACTGGCCCAGGCAGTTCTCCCAGCTCTTGCAGTGCTGCCTTATGCAGTAGGCCTCACTGGATCAGCACAGTCCCATTAAAGGAGTATTGTGCATAAAAGAAACCACAAGAATATGAAAAGCACACACGCCCCTTTATACCGGGTTAGTCTCCTCTCAACAATCCTCCACAGTCATCCTTGCAGAATTGTTTCCTTAAGGTGCAGAGCTCATCTGGTCACTTTTATGTTCAGAATTTCTGTTGGTTGTTCATAAGCCACAGAATAAGCCCTTACGTCTGCAAGCCCTTCCATCATAAGCCCTTAAGTCTGTATTGAAGGCCTGTGGTTGCCTCCATCTTTCTTGGTTTTGCAGTTTCCTCCAGAATCAGCTTTTGTCCCACTCCCCTCCTGACATTCTGGTCTACCTGTCAAATAGGACACATACCCTCCTATTTTGGCCTTTCATCTAGGTGCCATTTCACAGACCCGAAATGCTTCTCTTCTGGACCTCTCCTACTGACTCACCCTTAAATGTTGGGTTTAAATGCATACTCTTCCAAATGTCACTCACACAGAGCTCATTCATTTGTAATTCCATGCTCTTGGTCTGCATAGAATTCTATATTTGTAAAAACTCATTCTCTCTTGCTCTCTTGTTTTTCAGTATTTGCAGTAATACATGACTTCTGAAATCTATAGTACAGTTTAAGACTATAAATCACAAAACAGGTTATTACCTACTCACTCTTTAAAAGCTTGTCTAATCATATTTTCCTAATTCTTAAAGTTATCCTAGGATCCAAAATACCTTGTTTCTTCCTCATCCTACCCAAACTCCACTCCACTGAAAATAAGTGAGTAGTTTTTGTTGTTGTTGTTGTTTTGTTTTGAGACAAGGTCTCACTATGTAGTTCGGGCTGTTCTTGAACTCACTATGTAGCCAAGGCTGGCCTCAAATTTGTGGCAATCCTGCCTCAGCCTCCCAAGTGCTGGGATCACAGGCATGCGCCACCAGGCCCAGCTAAGTGAGTGTTGTTGTTGTTAGGAGGAAATGGAACATTTCCTTTCCTCCCTTCATTCACAAATCCCTACATCCTGGATGTCTGGGCTAGGCCGTATCACATATGTTACCCTTCTATGCCATTCTCTATGCAATATTATTCTGATGAGGTTATGCAGAATCAGGAAAGATTCAAATGGCTTCCCTTAGAAGGTAAGGGAAATGAACATTATTTCAACCAAATCCCAAAGAAATACAAATCCATAAGTACAGAGGTAAAATCCAGGCTTCATTTTTCACACATAAACTATATTGTATTTTATAGATCTAGTAATTCATTAAACACATTTATTGAGTACCTACTACATGCAGGAACTTCTCTGAGCATTGGATATGGAGGAGAAAAGAAAACAGATAAAAATGCCTACCTTCACTGAGCTAATAATATACTAGAGGTCATACTTAAAATTTTAGAAAG